CCCCCACAATAATTTGTTATATTGTGGTCGTAAAAAAACTAAGCAACAAAATGCGAAAAATACTAAAATATGTATTCGCTTGAGCCGCCAAAAGCCGAGACAATGAAACCTGTTAATTAACTTTGTACAAATTTGGCAGAAAAGTGTCGCGACAAAATAGCCAGGGCAAAAAGAAGAAGGAGAGCCACAATTGATTAATGCTCCGAAAAGTCTTCGGTTTGTTTAGACCCCTCCTTCATATTATATTTTGGGTGTTTTCTGTTTGGTTTGACTTTGAACTTGAAAAAGAGCATTGACTTTGCTCGCTGGAGTTGGACCAATCGAACTCCAATTGAAATGTTATTAAAAGTTTTTTGTTGGATATTGGGAAGTTAAATGAAGTGGGGTAAAATGATTCTAAAAATTTGCATTTATGACTTTTAGGTGTTTTAATATTAATCTTTAAGAACCACTTTATATATTACACTTAGTAAAACAAAATTCCTTGATTTTAGGGCCAATTCCTTAATTAAAGGAGTAGTGGACTAAACATGGCCATAAAGTTGAGCATAACAAATGACTTAAAATCATGTAAAAGGCCATATGACCTTAGGTTATTTTAAGGCCATGTTCAGAAAATTAAGAAGTTTTCTTCTGTTACCTTAATTGTGTAATTTGTAATACTTTTAATTTTAAGCCAGCTTTGTTTTTATTTTTTGAAAGAATTAATCTTTATGAGTGTCTCTTTGTTGAAAGTCAAATTCAAAAATGAATATGATCGGATAAATGGATTTTTTTTAAGTCTAAATCCCCATTTAAACATGACTGCAATTATATAAAAGAACTCAATAAATCAAAGCTTCCATAAACGAATGTCGTTTGGCTGTCCACTGCTGTGCAATAGCCATTTATCATTTGGTATCAGAGTTAAATAAATTAAACAGTTTTCCCCGCCCAAAAACACCGGGCATTCACAGTGCTGAGACAGATTAAATCTTTGGGAACTAGACAATATCTTCATTAAATGATTTGCTCTGAAGAACATGTATAATGACGGCCTCAAGGTAATCGAGGTGTTAACTTAATCCAAACTCCATTTGCATCAGCATGAAGTTGGAATCTCATTCAATGTCTTATTTTAACCTTTGTGCGGCTGTGCTAACAACTCTGCTGACATATCATGGCGTTTTGGCCGGGAGGGGATTTTCCATTGTTGACCCACATAGCTCCCCAGAATTCAGAATTGTTATGGTAATTTACAACCTCCAGTTAAATATGTTGCGCTGCACCCAGCTGCTGCAGCCCGCTGGGCTGCGTTTATTTATATTTGTATTGTGATCGAGTTGACAGTAGCACAAATTTTGATTGATGACGCCTGATTGACATTCGGGCAATTTGCTAATTCTATTTTGAGTCGCCACAAGAAATTGTGTCGCCTTTTGTGGGTCACAGTGGTTTTCAAACAATTCTTGTACACTGGGATCATTAATCATAATGAGTAGAGTGCAATTGAGGTAGTCTTAGAAGTCTCTGTGGCTAACAAGCAAATTAATGGGAATTATGTATGCTGGGTGGCTGCTGGGAGCGCAAACTTTAATTAACTTGGGCTGTCAGGTCGAGTCGGCCGATTAACATACGCTCAGGCCTATCAAGTGTCTGCCATCAGTCTATAAAAATGGAAAATATCCAGTACGGGCACTCAAAGTCAAAGTGGAGCGGTTGTGCGGCTGCGGCTGTAACTAATTGAAATGCATTGAAAGTGCGTGCGACCAGTAACTGCTGCTGCTGCAAAAAAAAAAAAAAATAAATAAAACTAAGACCAGCAACTGCAGCTGCGTGTGAAATGTCAAGCGGTCCGCACTTTGGGCTAGTTGGCATTTTGCCAGTTTGGCTTACCGAAAAACTACAACTTAATTACTCCCGTTTTGATCGCCAGCTCCCCCTCACAACCTTTTTGATGAATATCGGCATTTTGTTGACTACTTGACTGCTTGACTACTGCCATTTGTTGGGCAACAAATCGAAACATATAAAAAAAGTGACACTTGCCAATCTGCACGGTGTGATGTATGACGTTGACCTGATTTTGGCTGCTTTTTATTATCATTTCCATCGGCTGCATGTTGATTTCGTGTCTTGTCTGTCCGTACACACCTTTCCATGACGCGACGAGCGGCAATTTGTCTTTGCCTCTGGGGTGCCGATTATAATAATTCATCGGGAGTGCATTCGAGTGTGGGCAGCAAGTTCAAAGTGTTAAGTGTGATTTTCAAACATATGTAATACACGGCGTATGCTTTATGTCGCCTCAGCCAAATCCCAGCAAATCGGATTGGTCTTTTGACACCTAATAGGCAACTGTCAGGATGGCCGAGTGGTCTAAGGCGCTGCGTTCAGGTCGCAGTCTACTCTGTAGGCGTGGGTTCGAATCCCACTTCTGACAAGAACTTTTTTGCACCTCTTTTTTTTCTTAATTTTAAATATTTACCTATTACAAGAAAAATACTATTAATTTTTCATACTTAAGGAAACCTTATAAAAATGTTCTATTTCTAAGATGCAGAAACATATGTTGATGTGGTGCTGTCTCAAATCTTTAGTCTTAATACCACTTTATATTTATTTGTATATTATATTTTTCATCTGTAGACACGATATTTTTGTTGGTAACTTAATTTAAATAATTAAAATATGCTTAAGAACAAATTCGTCTTAGACCAAACTAGAAAATAGCACTCGTTAGTTTAACAGTCAGGATGGCCGAGTGGTCTAAGGCGCTGCGTTCAGGTCGCAGTCTACTCTGTAGGCGTGGGTTCGAATCCCACTTCTGACAAGAACTTTTTTATTCCTTCACCATTTGATCGAATATCTATTTTTCTAAATTTTTCAAGTTTTCGACAAAGTGTGTGAAATAAACTGATAAATTATAATTGATACAACAAAGGTAAGAAAAATACAGTGAACTCTCCAGGGAGTAAATTGAAAATTATAAATAAGATAACCCAAAAACAACATTTTTTTTTTTAAGTTAATTTTTTATTAGTTTATTGTAGTTTAAAAAACCAAAGTAAAGCGTTTTTAAATATATTTAGCTTTCTTAATCTGATTTTTCACAACTTCCCAACATTTTACAACTCAGTTGTTTTTGTGAAAAGTGTGGTACAAAGGTCCTTACTTTCAATAAATAGATTTTTTCCAGTTGCTAACCACATGAGTTTAGTGAGCAACCATGATTGGCTCTGTATCGAGGACGCACTGTAACCAAATTGTTCCCGAACCAAAATGTAATTTGGCTTACCATTGCTCAAGAGTCAGGATGGCCGAGTGGTCTAAGGCGCTGCGTTCAGGTCGCAGTCTACTCTGTAGGCGTGGGTTCGAATCCCACTTCTGACAACGATTTTTTGCTTACTCCAGCCACCAAACGATCTTATTTTAGCTAATCTATCGAAATCATTTTTTCAAGCCCCCACAATGATCCCCATTTGTTGTGAGCATCCATTAGCAAGTTTTAAAGAGAGCCCCCTCAGGGGCGCCATAAAAATTACAAGTAAATCAATTTGTAACCGCCTAATTGTCAATATTCCAATCACATAATCGGCTGCCAGTTAACGATTGCCCCCGTCTGTCGGCCAGACAGATACAGATATAGAGAGACCACACAGGCGATGAAGCCTGGCCCCATGGGATTTATCGCCGTCTGGCATCGCCGGCACACACTTCTAGTTCTCCAGATCGACTCATTCAGCTCAATCAGACAGAAATTAAAATGCTGACTGAGCGCGTTTTCGATTGCGGCCCACTCAGTTCGTGTTTTCACAATTGTTCTTGGGAAAACAGAGCAGGCCCATCTGTAATTATGCTGCTGTCGGTCGTAAAACGCAATCAACTAACTAGCCACTACAATTGACAATTTGGCTAGCAAAAATAAAAAACGCTGTAAAACCAGCCGTTAAAATTTTATTTGCTTAAGCACTTGGAAAATTGAGGCTGGCCTGGCCATAACAGGCGATTGGGTCAATTGGCATGTGACAGCAAGAAGCTGCAATTTTCACAGACAATGCAAATTGACGTCTCGGAAATATGAGTGATGTGACAAGTGGATGCTTATCTGCGGCTCGACGCCCCTGTTTTTTTCGAGGGGCTTTCCTCCTTCTTCTAATGAGCGCCCATTGAAATTTATGACTTCGTCGAACCGCCAATTGATTGGCTTTTAAATATCCAAATGAAGGCTGCCACTCGCAAATTGCACAGTCGTAATTAATGTACAAAAATCGTTTGAAAGCGCGCCCCAAACCAACACCTGCAGCTCTTCGTATCTTTATTTATGGAAAAGCTTTTAACAATTTTAATTAATTATGGGGATGCAGAACTTGGCAGCCTGGCAATGCTGCAAATTTATGACACTTAATGTTGATAGGCGCAATTGCTATCTAAATGCAAATTTCACGGGTAACGTTGAAATCAAATTTTAAATTGGAATTAAACATGCTGCTTATAAGTACAATACTTAAGAACGTAAATCGGATTATGCTCAACTTTCAATCTGAGGTTTTAAATAAATAAATAAATAGTCTCAAAAAATTTGATTGAATCATTCAAACAAATTGTCCTCCAACCAGGTGAATTAAAAATGTTGTACATATGTGTATAAAATAAGTAATTCCTTAAGACAATGGTCCCAACACTGTAGTTCTTATTATGTCCGACATCTTGACGCTTATATATATGTTTTAAAATTGAAATCCCTATCTTCTTCGTTACTTATTATTCAAAGATAACAATATACTCTTTTACTTTCAAAACACAAGGGATGAAAACGTATAGAGACTATTATAGCGAGTGTTTACTGTTCTCAATGAAAAGCTTAGTCTGTTTCGCAAGACGTCAGAGCTTTTCTGCTGAAGATCTCACGCATGGGCAGAAAGCTCGACACCCTGAGCGAAAAGAGATACTCTCTCCAAACCGAGCTTCCAAACAGTGCCTTCGCGTGACGCAGCGAGAGCTTTCACAGTCGGCAAACACGAGTGGATGTAGTGTATAGAATGCAAAACGTAATGGTAATCGAAGCCACTAAACAAGCAGATTAGGAGGCCATTTAATCGGACCCAACAAAGTCAAGCCTTCCAATCGATCCAGTCGTATTAATCGGCATTTGAATTAAAAGTCCCGCGACAAAAAGCTTCAATCCAGCGTATTTTTTTAAAGCACAATCGAGCATAATAACAGAAGGGTTATTCAACCCACAAGTGCCGGGCAGAACAGAGATATCAAAGTGCCACAGGTGACAGGTGAGTTCATTGTTTCCCTAAATATCTCTGATAGGCGCAGTTTTTTAAAGGTAGTCCGTTTTTAATTTCATGGTATTTTGTTAATGTAAGAACACGCGGGATGTGACCGCAATGTAAGCTCAAGTTATCCAAACAGCTTTTTCATTGGTGCATTTTATTGGAGCTTTTCTTCTTGCATCAAGCTTTTATTCAATAGAGAGCGAAAGCTCTTTTGGTCACTAGTTTTCATTTATTCTTAAAAAAAAGTATATAAGTCAGCAAATAGATACGATAGAGTAATTTAAATATATTTTCTTACATATGATATGAAACAGTATTTAAATAAGAAATTTATTTGTTAAAAAGCTTTAGCAGAAAATATTTCTTAGGTAAAAATAAGAAAAATTGTATCGGAAATAACTAGAACAAGGTATGAAATCTCATAACTAATTAATGTAACCAAACAATAATTTTCTTTATTTTTTTTTTGTAAGCTCTATGAATTTTTAATAAAACTAAAGGAGACCTAAGAATCTATGTTTCTAGTTTTATTCACGCGGCTGTGTATCCTTTTTTCTCCTTATGTAGGATGAGTACTCTTCGGATTTGCCAGGCCGTGTCGCTGAATCCCAGAGTATGTGGGAAGGAGGTAATTACATCGTCCTCAAGGATTTGTTTAATGGGTTGCCAGGAAGTAAAGCCCAATGAGTTGCGTCGTTTTCCAGTCCACGATCCCGATCGGTAAGCGTTACATTTAACTCCCGGTTTGATTCCACCAAAAACCACATTAAACCTGTTTTTTTTGTGGAGGAAACCTTTAAAGAGCTTTCCGATCGAATCGAACTGAAGCTTGGATTGGTGGGAATCATTCTTTATTTTCAGCACCAACACCAATACAATCCGAAGCTTTGGCCTCGCCTCCCCTCCCCACTTCAAAGAGCTTCCTCTTCTTCTTCTGATACCGATACAGCACTCCCAGTCAAAGGGCATTGAACTCTCTCTGCGCTTCGCATAGAAGTGCATCATTTTCATAGGAAAATTTCAATGCCATGGCGGCTGAAACTGCAGTGCAGAAATCAGAAATGCAATAATGCCGATGTGGGCGGGGTAGGTCCCAGTCCCAGTCCCAGTTCCAGACTCCCATTTATTTATAGCTCTCACGCCTATAGCTCTCCTGTAAATGCAGCCACAAATGCGCGTGGGGCTCTGCTCTGTTGGCCGTGAAGTTCTTTTATTTTTCTTTGCCTCTTCTTCACCTCTAGTTCTGCAGTTGGTGCGCAAAAAAATAAAGTTCCGTCTGCTAAAGTTACTTGGCATTGGCCATGGAGTTTAGAGTGGACCAGTGGCTCATCTCATGGTTCTAAAAAACCTCAGTCTTAAGAGTGTTTTTTTATTTAAGCTTAATTTGGTTATATTGGTGGGAGTATATTGTTAAATATTTTTTTCAATTATTGAAACTTAAAAAAGCTTTTTTTTTTAACTATGAAGATTAGGGTTAGTTATTACCAAGAAGAGCTTTTATTTTACGTTTCTTTTTGCGCGGCATATTTGTCAAGTGTACTTTGAAACCAAAAAGTCAAAGTCACTTTTATAACGTAAGCAAGTAAACAAATTTAAACAATGTACCCAACTTTCGTTAGGATTGGATTTGATAGTGCGTTATCAACTTGCCATTGACGAAATTCATAGAAATTTGTAAGCTTTCGATAAGAGATTTTAATATGAATCATGAAGATTCGTAATTTTATTAATTTCACTGATTAGTGTAATTCATTATATAAAAAAAGCTTAATAAAAAGTTTTTGTTATATTGTCCATCTTTCGTAAGCCTGTTATAAGTTCACTGGATCAATCAATTCACACCCACCAAGGGTGTTATTTTTACAGATCGACTTGGGAATACTTTTTTGTCGATATGATGCTTTCTTGTTATTTTGAGTAGAAGAAGAACCTATTTCTTAACAAATTTCAATACAAACGTGTTGTGAGCCGGGGAATTTCAATGTACAAACTTGGTAATCAAATAAATGTACCACCAAAAACTCCAAAATGTAAAAAAATCTTTCTTAAGTAAGTTTATGTTTCCTAAAATATTATTGATAAGTTTCCTGACCTGCACAATAATTTTGATAAGCAATGATTTGATTAGGACGGTCCACCCTAAAGGCCATAAACGTAAAGCAAAATAAGCGTCTCTTCGACTGCTTCCCCATCTTTCACAAGAGCAACAAAAAAAAGGGGGGAAGTTGTGCAGAGGCTGCAGCAACAGCAGCAAATAACAATAACAATCCCCGACAAAACTTCCGCTATGCGAGAAAGAGAAAACAAAAGCGCAGCACTCTCTCTCCCATCCCGCTCACACTTGGGAAAGAAGCATAAAAAGAGCTTTTATTGCAACTGAAACTTTTTCAAGAACTTTTCCAAAAGAGAGCGGAGAGCGAAAGTCGGATCTAATTTGAAAGCGCCGCAAGAACAACTCCAATGTTCAGTTTTTTCAGTTTAATCATTAAACATTAAACAAAGAACCGCGCAGCCGAACCGATCGCAGCTCGCTCGTCGTCTCTTTTTCACCGATAATTGGTATGTTTTCTTTTCAATATTTTCGCACAATGCTTGTTTTTGAATGAGTGAAAAAGCTTCTGTTCGAGAAAAGTACTGAATTGAGCTTTCGTTGGTTAGTAATAGTAGTCAATTATTATTATTGTTATTATTCTTTCGTTGCAGCTGCAAGCACTGGCTGCGTCACTTTGGCGTCAGCGCCAAACTGGTAGATCAACTCGGCGGCCTGCAAAAACTACGCATCTGCTTCAGACATTTTAGCCAACGCCAGGAGATGGCCAAAACCCGCATCAAGATGACGCCGCTGCGCAAGTCCACCAAGGGGATAGTAGTTCTACCAAATAGCGGAGGGACTGTCATAACGGGGGGAGGAGGCGGAGGAGGAGCAGGAAGCGTTCAAGTCAAGTCGACAACGGCGGCCAACACCACCATTCAACTTGTAGAGGTGAGTAGTGCAGTAGTAGCACAAAAGTTCAGCTTTCATAGGGGTTGAAATTTAAACTATGATGAACCTTACTATTAAACACGAAAAAAACTATAGTTTTCTGAGCATGGTGAAATTTTTTTAATTTTCAGAACATACTTTAACATCATTCAGAAGATTAATAAAACCTTTTTTTTTTATTTTTTAAGTTTTTTGAGCTACGTAGTTAACAAAACTACGTTTTTTATTCTACTCACGATTGTTTCATAAATATAAATAATTCATTTATTCAATTCAAATACGATAAGTGAAACGAAGTAACAAAAGTCCGTCTTAAATTAAGAGAACTTGGTGTATAAAAAAAATCTAACTTTTATAAAAACACTCTTTCTTGCAGAGCCCTACCAGAGATGTGGAGAAGACCCACCAGGACAAGAAGCCCATTACCAGCATCATGCCCATGCCCCAGCGTTCTCACTCCATCAGCTCCTCGACCTCCAGCGATGTGCAGTCCATAAACTCCGATTATGAAGCTTCCCTACAAAATACCACCCTAGAGGATTCCCAGAACGGACTCAACCGCTTGGAGAACGGTCAGACCAAGAAAAGGAAGCTCTACGTTATCACCGAGAAATCAGATGGGAACAACGGCCATACTCCGGAGACTAATGGGCAGCCCAAGAAGCGCAAGATGTTCGTGGTTGTGGAGCAGAACAAAGAAGCGGCGGGCAAGAAACTAATGATTATGACCGACAAACCGCAGGCGGATCTCACCCAGCATCTGGAGAAACTATTGCCCGAAATACTAAATCGCATACAGGACAAAGAGCAGAAGCAGATCAAACCAACTCCAGCAGTGGTAAAACCCAAATCAGCGGTTATTAATCCCAGACCACACATTACGTTGCCGCCCAAGAAAAATCCCACAAACTTTGTCAGGATCCCGCCCACAACAAGTCCAGTGCCATCTCCCATTCAGATGCCACTTTCAATTACAAAAACCAAGATCGTAAAGACCGAAAAGACCGAAAACTTGGAGGAGAAAATAAAAACGGAAGATATCGAGACCAACATCAATCTATCGCCTGACTTCCGTTTCCTAATGAAGATCCTTCCTAAACTGGAACAGTTGCCCGAGCCACACAAGCAGAATGTCAAGCGCTCCATTCAAATCTTCGTTGAGAAGAGCTACAGTATCTACGGTAACAAGGATTAGTTACCAGTATTTCAATATCATTTTATTTTCCATTTCATTTGAAAAAGTTCGCATTATTTTCGAAAGAATCATACATATAAAAGGCATTTCATTACGTTGTCTAAGACTGAAGCAGACCAATTTAATTTGTAAGCCAACGCAGAGCTGATGCAGCTCTCCATTTAGATTTGTAAGCCAATCCTAAATTTGATGTTACCCCGCTGGAGATGGGTATATTTCGAAAAAGTTAAGCCATAAAAAGAATTACCAAGATTGAAGTCCTTTCTATATTGAATATATGAAAGCTTTATTTAAGCTCAACAATAACAATATCCATGAGTCTTATTTTGGGGGAACAGGGAAGGAATAACTATGTGGTAACACCACCCAATTAAAAATATCTTGTTTTTTTTTTTTTTTTTTGTATCTTTTTGGTTTTTTTTTTGTTTTTTGCATTGTAATTCCAAAGAACTTTATTTAGTTTGAAAGCATTTCTTACGGTTTCGTCTTCCATATTCTTTCTTTTCATGTTACGTTATAATAATATTTAGTAATTCTAATGCGGGTTTTAGTTAGTGTGGTTTAGTTTAGTTAATACAATGGTTAGTGTGTCTTTACGATTTCCATGTAAATTATGCAAAGTTCTGTGTTTCACTTTCTTTTCGTCCTGGAGAAAGGATTGCATTTGGTAATTTACAACTTACGCAGCCAAGTAATTGTTGGGCTTATTTTCGTTTCAGTTAGTATTTGGTTAATGTGGTTAATACATTACATATATACAGTTAAACAGTTAATGTTTAATTTAGCTTGCGGTTCGAGGAAACCAAATTGTGTGTAAAGTATTAGGGAACTTTGTTGCGTGCTTTTACTGGATGAGGATTTCTACATGATCGGAGAGATTCCATTTCAAGTGCTACAATTATAATCGCATAATATACTTTTTACAACATTTAGCAAATTTCCCGTACACATATACTCGTATATCATATTTTTGGTTAAGGATCGCCATCGATTTTCAGTGGTTATAGGTGTCATATATATATATATACCTTTATATCGTGTTTGTTAACTACATTTTGGTGTGTCCTACATTTAGCGTTTGCCTTTTTATTCGGTTAGCGTATAGAGTGTTTTTACATGCTGTTTTTAAGAAAAAATATCTGCCTTTAGGTTCCCCTACGAAACATTTATGTCATTATCATCAATGAAAAGCAATCACAAAGTTTTCTCTAAATTTAAGTACGACGATTACTATATTTTAATTTCTTTTAATATTTACAACACTTTTTTGGAGTGCACAAAGCAGCCAGTTATTTTTTCTGGTAAGTGTAAGCAGCTACATTTACTGTGAAGTCGAAGATATACGACTCTTCTTTTTGCATTTACATATCGAGTTGGTTAATCAACGGTTAGTAGTGGGTTCGGGTTAAAAAAACTGTGTCACAATTTCTACAAACAGCCTTTTGTTAAACTTGTTAAACGTACATTTATAGGGTTATCTTTATGTTATGCGAATTAGAGATTATCTCATATATATTATTAGAGTGTTTTAGTTTTTACAATTTATAACCTGAGCGCAATCATTTTTATGGTCAGATCTACCAATCTTGACCAATTCTTATTTCAAAAGATTTCTCTTAGACTCCCACCAATTTTATAGGATGTTATTCCCATATATATTTGGTTAATATTCAAAAAGGGTAAATATACGTGGCATCCTTAGGTTTTCCGTTTTAACGGAATGCTGACCTGTACTCTAATACAAACTTTAATAATTGTGTAGTGTGTTTTTTAATCTCAAATATTGTCCATACAATACATACACATATCGTATATAGTAGGTGCTAGTTGTCGGGTTTTCACTGTGTTACATAGCTATAAATTCTAATTAGCAAATGCATTGGGTTGGGTTGGATCCACTTCAAGTAATGCGACAAATGAAACAAAATGTATTCGTTTTTTCTTTTTCTTTTTTTTGTTTTGTTCTTATTTTTTTTTTATACAAACAGTTTACACAAGTTTTTGTTTTATTCTCAGTTAACGTAAATTAATGCGTAATACGTATCTAATATATATAGTTAAGAATGATCCATAAATTGGTTTACAAGTCAAATACTAATGCAGTTTACAGTTACAGTTTATCTTAACTTATGAACTCATTTCAAACGGCATATATCGAGTGTGAATTTCTTTATGTTTTAGTTCAGACCTGCTCCAATCGAGGGTTGTGCTATGTGTGTAGTATAATGTACATGTCCGTAACTTATATCGTACTCGTATTACCTCATAGCTAACCGTCTTACTGAGCTAGAGAGAGATGTGGGCTAATTATTGGTGGGGGTGTGGAGATAATGTTATGTACACGGTGCCTAAGCCGAACGAAAACTAACTATCCATATGAGTAGCTATAATTATGGGGAGTAAGTGCTTAGAGATGTAAATGATGCTGATGTAGATGTCAATTTAACTTGCATTCGAGAGTGTGTCTCTGGGTCTGTCCGGTGTCAAATGAGGGATAAACAATCTGTAATCTCTAATCTGTACTCTATATATTAACGGTTAAGAAAAACTTTAGTTATAAACAAAAGTTGAAAAGAAATTCTACTTTTTTGCACACTGATTTCCTTTGCTTTTCTTTTCTTTCATTTCGTTTTGTTTTTGCTATGAGATCTCCGTGAAAGTTTTGAATTCATGTTTGTTTTGTTTTGTTTTCGTTTGTTTTACGCTAATCCATACATGTATGTGTATATATATATATATATATATATCGGTTAATATATATAATTATATAATTAAAAACTACATACATAAGAAAGCAGCACAGTTAAGAGAATTGAGGAAAAGTTTAGTTTAGCTTCAGTTTCAATTTCTTCGACAGCTTCTTCTACATCGTTATCGTTTTTTTTTTGTTTTCGATTAGATATTTTTGCATTGTTTTTGCTCTAAACATTAAAGACAAAAGACATTCAAAATACATATTTACGGTATACATTTTTAATTTTGTTTAAGTGCTTAAGCTAGATCATAATTTTGACTCTTCCAAAAAATCAAGTGTGAATTTCGTATTGCATATCCTCAATTAATCAATCGTCGTCGTCAAATGAGAAAACTCAGTCTTAACATATATAATGTTCTGGGCAGCCGAGGCCTTAGCAATTGATCCTCTATAACCGATCCTGTCCTGCACCTTTGCTATAGCCTAAAGCAATGAGCATTGAGAGAGACAGAGGTGTAGTTAGTCGAAAATTAAACTATATTACATGGTAATCAACTAAAAGCAAAGTATACATATCAACTAAAATTGAATTGATTCGGGCGGCGCCTTGGGACTCCAAGGGGTAATAATACTCCCCATTTCCGACCCATTAAGCTTTATCCGCCAAAACCATTCACTGGGGGCAGTGCGTCGTCCACTTGTTGGTTGGTTTTTCCTTTGATGGTTTGTTTATTTGTTAGTTTACATTTATGAAAAATATGATTAAAAAGCTTAACAAACTATTATCAAAGCGAAAATTGTCATAACTAAATTAAGTTGAAATTGTTTAATTTATATTTATATTAATTTATATTGTAATTTTTGTTCAGTCAGTCGACAGTTGAAACTTTGAACTAATTTCATCAAATATTTTTGTTTTTCTAATATTGAGTTAGTGTTGTTGACCGCCTTTTGTGGTCAGATACATTTAGAGTATATATCTAGAAACCAGTTTCAAAATTGAAGCTTCAAACGTTTGTGAAAATGAAAATAGTTGCATAATTTCAAATGAATTTGTTTTCTTTGCGTTTAGTAAACATTTAGCTGTAGCTACACATCGTTATGTTTGTCGTAAGCTAACAGAAAATGAATTTATCCTTTTAACGGATGAAAAGGTTGTTTAATCGCTTGAGGTAAATTTTGGCAAACAAATTTCGGATTTGTGTGCATTTTGTTACTATTTTATTTTAAATATATTTATCGATATATTTAATAGTTAAGCATATTTGTTTATAATGAATACGATGTCTGTCTGTGTTGCTAATTAATTTACATATACATAGATTTCTTAGGAGCTTAACATAAAACGATTTTGTGTTGTATTTCTTTACCATTAAATTTGAATTTTCGATCAATTCTTCCAATTCTTGTCAAGCACAACAAAATTTTAGCTTTGTTGCCAAAAAACTAATATTATTATCTACGCTTTGCTTGTAGTGCGTAGAATCTACTGCTGCTCGCTCCCTCTCCTCTCTCTTTTTGTTACACATTTTTGTAATATTTTTCCTTCACTTAAAACTTGCATGGTTTTGTGTCGCTGCTGCTGCTTTAACTACAGTTTTGTTGTTTAGTTTAGACTAGTTTCAGTTGAGTTACGTTACATATTTGTTTGTCTATAGTATTATTAAATATTTGTTTGTTTTCTTTTAGTTAATTTCGGTGGTGGAATGCTTTAACTTTCAAACAGACAAAGGCCCACTTAAAAGCCGCTTGGCGCTTAAAAATTATTCAATCGTTGTTCCTGGCTGAGTTATCTCTGGGTTGAGTTGAGTTGGGTTGGGTTTTCGCGGGTTTTCGAGGGTTTTCGAGGGTTTTTTTTTGGACTGGGAATCGATTCCTCTCCTCCTTCTTTTCGGCGGCGAGGTTCTATCGTTTGGCTGTGTTGCTTTTGTTTCGATTTTAGGCAGCAATCGCCTCATTTTGCCGTCATTCCCATTGATGAGGCGACGGCGGCAGCTCTGAAGGATGTGCCACGGTTGAACTAAATCCAGATGGGGGAAAATGATAAAATAAACGAATTTTAATTCCGAATTTCAATATTTAGGTTTTAAATGAACATCTAGATTAGTTAGTTCATGCCATGTACAACGTAAGATTGATAGAAAACATTAAAAGCTTTAATTTAAGACAAAATACAAACGAAATACAGAAATAGCTCCCATTTAAAACAATCTTAAAACAAAACATGAAATGAAAATGTACAAACTAGAACTACAAAAAGAGTTTGGGTTGGAGAGGGACTCAAAATACAAAGTATAAATTTCGTTTTGTTAATCATAATAATCAAAAGTCATTGAGTGGTAGTTGTTCAAGCGTTTAAATCTACTTCAGTTCTTTCTTTGTCACTGCTGCTCAGCTGCACTGCAAACTGTACAAATGCTATTTGGCATGATTTTCTGTGCAGTATTTTAATTTACTTAATTTAATCCAAGCAAATGGATGTTTACTCGAGGCTTGTGTTTTAAAGCTGCATAGAATAAGAGTTTTTGTAGGGTTATGCAGGACAATGACTGAGCTAAATGATTGGCTGGTTGGTGCAAGAGCTTTTTTTAAATGGAAGCAATTTTTTTTGAGTTTTTTACCACTTGAGTTTTATAATTTCATTTAATAACTAGTTGACGACTCTTTCGTTATTGATATTTAATAAATACATATTATAAAAATTATTGAAACAATGAATATTCAATTTCAATTTATTTGGTATGCTTCAAATTGTTCGAAAAGTCTTTTTTTTTCTTTTTATGATAAGTGTGCGTTACATTTTCTATGGGAATGATTGCAGTTTCGGAACATGGGAGGGATATGGTCTATGGGTGCGTATGGGCTTAAATAACTTGATGAAATCTGTATACTGTACACGATTACGAATAGATAGTATATATAGATATAGGAGTTGAATGCGAACACAAAACATTAACACAAAATTGATTATGGAGCTGTTTGTATGCATTATGTTCGACTTGGTTCGATTTTGTTGCTTTATAAAATAGTTGAAAATGTCTCTCATAATTTTTCCTTTTTCTTTTTTTTTCATTTATTTGCCTTGCCAATTTTGTTTTCAATTTGCTGTGCGACATTTGTAAACAATTTTATAATATTTCTGATTAGACTGTCGTTTTTTTTTTTTTGCTGGTTTAAGAAAACATTTATGTACACAATATTTACGCAAAAACACCCATTTAAAAAAAGATGAAATTAAAATTATAAATCAAAATGAAAAGTTAAGTAATATGTAAAAGTAAAAGCTAAGAAAGTTATGTCGTTTTTTTTTTTGGTTTTTGTTTTGTCTTTTTTTGTTTTTATACACATTTGCATAAGAATAGAAAAATAGATAAACAGATATGAACAAATAGGTGATAAACTAAATAAATAAATATTTAGTAAGGTTTTCGCTTTATCAACAGACCTAAGAAGGAGTAGAGAGACAGTTGCCGCCCCGAGGCCTCATATTCTGTATCTGTATAATTGTTTCTTTATCTTGGCATTTCTTTCATTTTTATTTTCATTTTCATTGCATTTTCATTCATTATCATTCTTGAATCATTCGGCAGATAACGGATAGTAGATAGAATCTTGTGACTTCTGCGTTTCTATATCGATTCGTTCTAGTGATAGTAGATCGCGCGCCCCTAGTATCTTGATCTGGATAACGATCTCGATCTGGATCTGTATCGGTTTTCGAAGGCAGTAGGCAACAGTAGGCGGCGGCGGATTGGAGCAGCGGCAGGAGCAGCAGTGCAAGTTGTAGTGGTAGTAGTGGTAGTGGTAGTAGTAGTAGATTTTCTCATTCTCATTGGCTTAACAACGCAAATATAACGATTCGATTTAATAGAAATTTCAAGATTAATATCCATGTTGAACAACAAAAATAAAAGAACAAACGAAAAAAGATCATTTAAAAATAAGGTTACAAATTATAAACGTAGTTTGGTAGGTAGAGAGTTATTTAGAGATAGTTTGAGTTTGGGGACAGATACGACAATTAATTGGGGATGGGCTTAAAAAGAACATTACACGGAAGCCATGGTCAATCAATTTAAACGAAAAGTATCAAATCAATTATAACAAAAGAATATAGATAGAAAGTAAGGAATACAATTTTGACTATAGGTGGTAGATTTTTAAAAAAGTTTTTTTTTTGGTAAAGTGGACAGGACTGCGTGCAGAGGTGGGAAAATTGGAAAGAGGTTTTTTTTTTGTTTGGGAAAAGTTTATTGGCATGGAACAACTCTTCACTCACCTGGCGAAACTCTTGAAGGCCGCACTCTGTGGATTAATGCAAAGCGGCACACGACCCGTTTGCAGTTGCTCGGCTATGAACTTGTGCATCTCCTCTGCAAGTTTTCACATTGATTAAGTATTTCTGGCTACTATTTCAATAATTCTCACTCACCCTTGACCTGCTGCACGGAGGTGAGCTTGCGCTCCCATAGATCATCAAAGGGCTGGCCGGCGGAGGGCTCAAAGTCGGCCGTGTACTGGCGCATTCCGGCCGAGGTAGTGAAGCAGCATTTGCACATGCACGAGTGGTACCGCAGACGTCCCTCATCCAGATATGGATGCGCCAGGGCATCTGTCACAGAAATGCGCTTGTCCTGGTGAATTTTCAAATAGTTATTGTTAGTTAAAGGAACGTGTGTTTTTTTACTTTGATCTAAAATTGCATAAATTGTAGGCCACCAATAATTTTCTGTTAAGGCCTCTTTATAGAATTTAATATCCCAATTTCAGATTTTGGGTGATTTTTGATTTTAAATTGTAAACAGCAGTTTCATTTCTTGGCTTAACTTACAAATAAGTATGCATTTAAAATTTAAAGAGGCCTATTTTTAATTTTTAACATTATTTTCATTAAACATCTTATAAATTAATAAAAATCGATGTATTCCAGAATTTTCTAAATATTTTAATCTTTAGGAACAAGCTTTTATTAAGGCTACTTTACACATTTAGATGTCGTACTTGAGATTTTTATAACAGGTCTGATTCTCAAAGAGCTTGGATTCGTTTTTTTTTAACATGAGTCTAAACTGTTTTCTTGTTTAATTGTTAAGATGGTAAGATACTATTATAACAGTAGCTTTAAATGATTTTCTTGATTGGATTTGCTTTTGAAATTTTTTATAAATTTATTACACCAATGTGGGATATCTTACCGGATCGAAAACCAGCATCTGGCAGAGCAGGTGCACAGCCTCGTGCGTGGCGTGCGAGCTGAGTGTGTAGAGCACCGAGAAGGAGGGCGGCTTGGGCGCCCGGCGCAGCATGTGGGTGCGGGCACCTTCGCAGGCGTGCCGCATATCCTCCATGGTGGGCGTGCCCAGCAGCTCGGTGATCAGCTCCAGCTGCTGCACTGGGTTCTGCGCCTGGAACAGGATGCGACGGCCCAAGAGCTCGCCGAAAATGCAGCCCACCGACCACACGTCCACCGCCGACGAGTAGTGACGAGCGCCCATGAGAATCTCTGGGGCGCGGTAGTACTGGGTGACCACCTCCTGGGTCATGTGCTTGGCCTGGTCCGGCTCCTCAACGCGGGCCAATCCAAAATCACAGATCTTGAGCACGCAATTCGAGTTGACCAGCAGATTGCCCGGCTTGATGTCGCGATGCAGGATGCGGGCCGAGTGCAGATACTTGAGGCCGCGCAGGATCTGGTACAGGAACACCTTGATGTGGTCGGCGGAGAGGTGCTGCGGCGATACGATTATCTTGTGCAGATCCGATTGCAGCAGCTCCGTTATCACATAGCTATTGATCGATTCGAAAGAGGGGTTAAGGTGGAAACCAATTTGATAGCGACATGCCAAAAAGAACAAACAACAAGTTTGAAACTCCCCTTCTTCTTTTCCCCATCATTTTTTGTCTTGTTTGTGTGAGCTTAAAAACTTTTTCAATTAGTTACATTTGCTTTTAGCCCAAAAGTTTGGGCTGCGATGCTCGAAAAACAGGCAACACAATTTGCAAAATCGAATTTTTTAGTTTCTGGGGTTTTGTTAGGGAAAAAGATTATGAAAATAAATAAGTTTGATTTTTAATTGGAATATTCATGGAAGAATCGAGCAAGTTCATAATAGGGATTGCAAAAAATAGTTAAATTAATTAAATAATGAACTTAACACGAAACTGAATATTTTATCATTAAATTAAATTATTACTTTCAATTTTTTTTAATATTCCTTAGAAATTTACCTCTTTATTTTGCTTAAAAATGTTTTAAACTATTTAAACCGAGTATTAAAAGACGGTTAAAAGAATATATCTCTTTTAACACCTTTTTAAGCTGCAAAACCGCAATTATTTAATAAGGAAATTTGAATTTTTTCCTGAAAACCACGAAATTTCACGTTAGCCTAAATTTCACACTTTATCGTGCAAAAAAACATTTCTTTGAGTTTTCTTTTTGTAAAAAGGATACATTTCTTGAAAGAAATCCAAATGCGGTGGCTGTAGAATGTCCAGGGCCGAGAGAACCTGCAAAATAAATAAATAACATAAGCACACAATAACACAATTGCATCGATATCAATAATCAATAATCAACAATCAGGAAATTCTTCAGTGTCATTGAACTGGCAGTTTAAATTTAAATTTAATCCCTAGACAATACAGTCAACAATTTACACCTCATTTGAAGGGGATTACGTGGGGTTGGTCATAAATTATGGAGTTGCAATAAAAATCAAGTTGCATGTTAAGTGTCGCCGCCGAGACATTAAATGCCGCAAGTAAAAAGGCACAAAGCGAAAAATCACCAAGGAATTTGTTGACCCCTTGATGATGTTATACTACTGCTGACGGAGCGCAGATACAAGAAACACGCCAAAGTCCGGCCACTTTCATGTGGGGGAGGAGGCCAAGTTCGGTCAGCAGAATACAAAAAAAAAACTCATATACATTTACAAAAAAAATGAGGGGAAAAAAGAACCACAGTCAGACAGACAGACAGACAGACAAGCGCTGATTTATTTTCGCTTGCGGTGAAGAGATGATGAAGGAACTCGCAGGCAATCACATCAAAAAATCTAACAGGGGGAGCAACTCTTCTACCCTCTTACCCATTTGAAATCAATTTACAATATTTATCCAACTCCAGTTGTTGGGCCGCAAAATGCGTAAAGTGACCGAAGAAAAAAAAAAGGTGGAGGGAGAAAAACCTAAATCCGCAGCAGCGGCAGCAAAAAATGTTGCCAGCCACAATGTTGCACATTTAACCCCCTCTTGCCCGAAGTTGTCGGCAGTAGCCAAAGCCCAAAGCAGTTCAACAATTTTGAGCACTTTTCGCGGCGCATTGCAAACGCAACAACAAAAAGTGCCGACAACTTTGGTTACTGGTTTTTTTTTTTTGTCTTTTTCATTTTTTTTGTTTTTTGTTGCCTTGCTAAGCCGTCGCCGTCTTCAAGTCTGAATCTCCGTCGCCGTCTTAAGTGGCAAAGTTTTTTGCGCTCTACAGGAACGACGTGATATTCCCCCCTTCGGTTACAGTTCTGCTCCTTTGGCAGCCCCTTTGTTTTATATTTATTTCTTTGTCCGCTTCGGCAGCCTGTAAATTCTGTAATATTTCGCGACTGCGCCGCTGCTGTAATTTAGCGACTGCATTTGTTGCGTTTGCGGTTTGAAGCATTAAATGCGAGCAGGTGAAACAGGGCGACTTTTGGCATACACTATGTGGGCCATAAAAATCTTCAGCAATTTTATTTGTGGTTCCACGTTTCCGGATTTTGTATAAAATAGTTTATATTTATTAGGTTTCAGTAGATTAAGGCTAGAATTTAAATTTACAATAAATAAATATATTGTACATTAAAAATAGTAAAAATAAATTTAGTTTTCATAAAGACAGATTTAAAAAAAAACTTGCCACTGACATGTTTTTACTTTTATTTCCTTGTTTTTTTGATTGAAAAATGCTTATCAAATTTACGTTTTCTTAGCGCCACAAATCTTTTTGTGTTTCCTAGTAAATAATTAGCTTTGTTAAGTATTGCAAGCATCCACATGTGGATTTTATATACTGCAAACTCATCATGACCAAATCTCATACCCGTTCAATTATTTTTCTGGTTAGGGCATCAAATAAGCAACAACAATGAATACGAATTTCAAGTGATTCTTAATGGTTTTCGTAGTTTCTTTTTCGGTCGACTTCATTTACTGCACTTCACCTCGCTGCACTGCACTGCAATGCACTGCACTGCACTTCACTTAACTTCACAGCGCAGGCGCGTAATTTGCTGCCTCGGCTGGGCTGTTATTGTTATTACTCGGGCAGCATTATTTTTTTTGGGGTCTCACGTGCGGTGCGGCTTGCAGCTAATTAACATTTTGGCTTGGGCTTGCAATCAGAAACCAAATTTATGCATTGTACACACCGTCGAAGGCAGCTTCAAGTGTCCTTGAAGTGGTGCATGAAAATATAGGGGGCTAGTAGTAGAATCAGGGGGGTTATTAGCTAGCAAAACAAACTTAGTAATAAAAACCAAAAACAACAGCTAACTGGGTTGAGTTCTCGATCTTGGCAGCACAGAAAGAAATATTATGTCTATACTTGTACTTTAAATGTGTCTTGTTTTGTTTTTCTAAGACCTAAAGAAAAATATGTTTTTAAATTTCATTTTCATTTGTACAATATTTTAAATACAGGTTTCTTACATATTTTTTTAAACACAAAATTAAATCATTTTATATTATTTTGTATTTAACCAACACTTCTTTTACCTCTTTTAAAAAACTTAAAATAAAATCAATTTCATAAAGACTTTTATTTTAAAGAAAAGCATCTAATTTAAAATCCCCAAATATATTTCTTTGTATATCTAAAAAACTCTATTTAAGTAAAGAGACAGGGAAACAAGTGAAACTTGTGTTCAACTTGCAACCAGCAGCTGTGGCAAGTTGTTGTTTAACCCACCTCAAAGCCCGCACCACATCACCTCCCCACCTCCTTAACCCACTGAGCGCCAACTCTTGTCTACAACTTCCTCTTGGGCCCCCCAGCTGCCAGCTTCCAGCGAATTTTCCCCCAGCCTCAGGCCGCTGTGAAAACAAAAGCAAAAGTGTCACCGCTTCGACTTCACAAGTATTTTCATTTCAAGCTGAGGGACAAATTTCTAGCTAAAAGATTGTCAAGCAGCAGCTGTCAACACATATTTGTTGGCTAATTAAATGAGTGGGGGCTGTCGAGGGGACAAACTCCACCGAAATTGACTATTACAACTCGGACAAAAAAAAAACAAAACCTTGAGAAGCAACAACATAAATTTCCTTTGATTACTCTTGGCTAGTTAAAGTTTACAAGAAACTTTTAAGGCAACTTGGTTTTTAGTTGGGTCGTTTCCTGCTAGTTATGTAACTGGTGGTAGAATATTGTAATAAAATAGAATTTTATTAAAAGAATTTGGGTTTTAATTATACATTCTTTTATTATATATATTTTTATCTATAAGCACTTATTTTTGCAACCTTCTTTATTGGTATTTATAGTTTTACATTTTTGTATCCTTTTCATCACAAATTTAATCTGTATTTCCTTTCTGCTTAGATTATCTGATCAGCTTATTCTTATAAAAATCAAGGCATTCTTTTCTCGCTAAACACACACATCCGTCAAAGAGCACCAAGGAAAATTGGCATTTCAATTGCAAAAAGCAAAGAGTGCAAAAGCAATGCAGATAATAACAAAATTTGCATGCAATTGATGCTGCCAGCGCGTCAAACTCAATCATTTTGGGCGGAAAAGGGACCGAAATCCCACATATAGGATAGATCTTACAGAGCGGGGAAATAGGAAGAAGTTGTCAGCCAGCTTCGAGGTTGCGTAGAAATGGGAGAAAAAAAAATAAGAAAATACTCCAGCCTCGCCCGAATTGCATGTAAGAAATGCTTTTGAAATGTGCGCCACGTACATTGCAATAAGAAATAAAATACAACAAAAAAATCCAAGCGTAAATCTTTTTTATTGAAATTTTTTTGGGTTTGCAATTGAAATGGGCAACGGATAATGGACGCAAGCATTTTGCAGCGATTTGCTAAACTGCAATGTATAAAGCATGAGAGGAATCATTTGTGAACACAGACAGCAATTGAAAAACCGACAAATCATTCAAGATTTTGATTGATTGAAAGGGTCAAGGAGTAGGCAAAACTAAGGAAAATATTTTATTTTCATGTTGTAATAGGTAATCTGATTAAAATCATACGAAAAATAAAGGCTCCCAATCATTAAGCCCAAAGAAAGTATATTTATTAACTTATCTGCTAACCTTTTGATTATCTTAGGTTTTAAATTCTCTTGCGAATTGGTCTGTGTAATATTTTTATTTCTAAACTTTCAAACAAAACCTAAATTTTAATTACTTCTTAAACACAATTTTGATTTGATTCTACCACTCAAATGTCACATAGTAATTTGTCATCATATTTCTTGCACTTCCTTAATCATTCAATCAATGTTGACCCCAAATAAAATACCGAAAAATCAATTTGAAAATGAATGCCTCACAATTTCCCTCCTCATTGAACTTACAACTTTCGAATGGAGGTCTTTCATTGATTGAGTTATAAATAGTTGAGCCGTTCAGTCCATATGAAAACTATATGGAGAACCCAATTTGCAATAAAATGCTAGGTAGCCACGTGCCAAGCGCAGTGTTTTTCCGATCCCCTCCGCCACCCAACCTTGTCAACAACTTGTCTGGGGTTCCTATACCCCTGACTCTTTCTAGTTTTTCAATCCCTCTCTTTCTAGCTAACCGCTTGGAGTTAATTGCACTTGTTTGCCATTCTCTGAATGATGCCTGTCATGTAGGAAATGAAACAGGAAACACTGGCAGATGCAAAAATATGAGGAGAAAAATGTGTAGTTTATTTTTTTTAGTGAAAATCTTTTTTAGTTGAGAAGTGAAAGCATGGCATTCTAAATAACAAACTCAATTCTAGATATATGTTAGGATACTATATTAATATTGATTACACTAAGTATATATCCAGTAAATCAGAAGAGTTCTCAAAAGTTTTTACGTATTTCAGTGCGTGTAACATAATTTCAAAAAATTCTAGCGAAATGACATTATGATATTGTGGTTAAGCAATATTAATAATAAACCAAGAAGGTCAAAATTTGTTGTTTTTTTCTCTGTGCACCCATACATATAACTCAAGCGTTGACAACAAAGTCGCGCCTTCGTTGTGCTTCTCTTACTTCCCCCTTCTGCGATTCATCCACCCACCTTCAGCAATTTATGCATATTAATAGCAAATTTGCATATTGGGCAAGGTGTTACAGCAATTGGTGTTGTTGTTGTCGACATATGGAATCGAGATTGGAGAACTGAGAAGGGGGATTTAGCTGTCTGCTCTATAACGCCCACTTCTCCTATACCTCGACATTATTGCATTACGAAATTCACACGCAACCAAGCGCGAGTAAAAATAAAAAAAAAAAATACAAAAGGAAATCATGTAGGCTGATGGAAATGATGATGATGGATAAACAGAGATGGTAGAGATATTTGTACATATTGGCCATCTCGTTCGGCATTAGATTCCCAGACAGCCCACGGCCTATTTGATGTCTAATGAAGTTGAACCAATCTGAAAATGATTTAGCAAATAGAAAATATTAGAGGGGAGAGGCCGTGACATTTAAGAGTGCAGCGAATTGTATGCGACAGTTTTCTGATACATAATAACACCATTAAAGTCTCGCAATAACCTCTTCTTTGACTTTTAACTTTGAATGCAAATGTCAAATATACCAAATATGGACCATGACAAAGGTTCTATAAAAAAAAGCCACTCGAATCTTTTAAAAGCTATGAGTACGTGCAGCGCAATCGCAATCGCAATGAATATGTAAATAAATTATAAGCGCTGACAATTCAGATAGAATACATTTAAAGAAAATGTCCCATGAAATCACATAAAACATTTGACCCTCAACAGTTGTCCATATTTATTTTTTGTTTCTCTTTTTTGCATACATATGTACTAATATATTTCAATGCATTTTATGCATTTATTACCATCGCCATTGGCTGTGTTTAAAACTGCCACAAAATGTTGGACAATGCACATATTTTTTGTCGGTTCGGGCACAAATTTGTTTGTCATAATTTTTCTGCATTTATTAAATGTTGACATAGCGTGGGCAACACTGATCATAAATGCAGTAATTAATCTTTTAGGAGAATTTTAAACATGTATTTACCAGGTCATAAAACACCGCAAAAACGAGGAGATTTTATAAGGAAAACTACTTTATTTATCTTTTAATGAGTTCACATCTCTTTTCTGCAATATTTCACGTTATAATTACTTTTCGCCAGCCCTGTAATTTATTATATTCACTGAAAAGCAAAATGAAACAGAGCTTAACCCTTCAAGAAGAACTGTTTAAATTCAATAAATTAACATGCCGCATCAAACATTTAATTAATGACAATAATTCCAGCGAACAATAATTCCACTTGAGCAGAGAACAACGGACATTAAATGGAGGCGTAAAAAAATGGGAAATGTGGAAAATGTTCCATGAAAGGGATATATTTTTCAGAGGTTTCGAAGCGCTCTTCCCCCCCAAAAAACTCCCCCTTCGGCAATCTCTGTCCTGTTTGAGTTGTAAATATTATGAAAAAGAGCCCGGGACTAAAGTGGAAAATATAATTGTTAATAAATTCACTGCAACAAAAAGAGCGAATAAGCCAAAGGCAGTCGGACAGTCACGTCGTATACGTGATATTTTACGTACAAAAGAGTTAAAGGATATATATGTATAAATGCAGGTCCACAGCAGTGACAAAATTCAAAGTGGTGTGTATGTAAATATTTTAATTAAATTTTTATGTCGCCAGTGAAACGAAAAATGCCCGATAAAGATAGTTCACCTCAGAAAAAAAAAACGAAAAAAAGATGCAATTTTCCACTTACATTCTCGTGCTTGAAGAAGCAGAGCATTTTCAGCTCGCGAAAAACGCGTTTCGATGAGACCAACGATTGGAACACATTTGGCAGCTTCTTCAAGGCCACGCGACGTCCATCCCGAGGATCTGTGACAGCCCTGAAAAATAAATATAAATATAATTATAATAATATATGAGATAATATTTTGTAAAGACAGTGATTTATTAAAAAGAGTCCTGATTTTTTGTAATTTATATATATGTATATTACTTAAATAACATTAAACAATCATAATAATACTTTTTACAAAAATTCAATTAATTAAATTATATCTTAGCATTTATTCTTTAAAGTCATTTTACCATTGCAGTAAATTGCCTGAATTTAATGGATATACATTGTAATTTCAGCATGTTGTTGAGAAAATTCTTGTGTTTTTGAACCGGGACCAAGTTAATCTTCAAGTTCTTGTTTACCGCTCAAGTGTCGCATTATAAACAGACCTCGATGCGAAATTCTTTCCCCCTGGCATGAATGACATTTTATACTCTCTGACAAAGCAGACAAAGCACAGTCAAAATCAGTCAGACTGGGAAAACAAACAAACATTCGATGGAGTTTAAAAGTTCGTTCAACTTTTTGCCTTGACAATGCCAGGAGTTATTTTTCTTTTGTTTTGTCAACCCCTCAGCCGCCATCAGCAAAAATCACTTTTCTATTCGAGCCTACAAAATGGCGCCTAAAGTAGGCAAATGTGTATTGTCTAGCAATTGATAAACAACCACAGAGACATGGACACAAAATTAGCAATACGAAAATGTGCGCAAAAAAAAGGTCAAACAACTGACATGTTGGGGTTGAGGTTTGGGCGAAAAATTAAGGAGAATAAATGGCGTTGGGGATAAAGATGGGGATGGGGATGGGGATGCAAACACCGACGGCACAGAGGCGTCGGGCCGGCTTATGGAAAACTTTTATGATGCCATTGGCCGAGGCTCGGTGTTAGTCACCGTCCTGTCCTGTCTGGGGCCAAGTCCTTGTCGTCTGTCTGCACGACTCTTTCCAAGAAACTCCATTACACAGCTAAAAAGTATAACCGAATGTAGTACTGAACTATGCATTTTGTTATGACATACAATTTGAAATGATAAATACAAATAATCTTATCGATAAAAGTACGCTTACAATTTTTACATGTCTTTTAAAATAAGTTAAAATTCGATCAATAAAAACTTATACGGGTTTTCGATTCAAAGACAAAAACAAATTTAACTGAATCCAGCCAAACATCGAAATATTTATTTACATTTTTATACTTATTACTTTTTGCAACATAATATTTTCTCTGTGTGCTCATTTTTCGAATGCCGTGTCTGTGGTGAAAAATATTTTTGTTATGGTTTTTGCTTTCAATAGCCAAAAACTGCGCAGCATCTTTTGCTTCTCAAGTTACCAAAATATCTTCTTGTTTTCTCATTCCTTCTCTGGCTGCTTGGAAATCTGCTTTTGCTGTGTGAATAGTAGAGGGCCGTAAATCTTTTAGCCCTGTTCGTTCGGCCGACGACATTTAAGCGTTCAAAATTATAGCAAATTGCTGCAGATTGAATTGGTTTGTGTGCGCGTTGCTCCATTGCTTTCTTTTTCGTCCTTTTCTTTCTGCGCCTGTGTGTGTGTTTTTGTTTCTCATTGGATGAGTCAGCATCCAATTTGAGTGTAGCATACATTAGGGCGCTTTTCTTGCAGGCAGAAAGCGATTTGCATGTCTGAGTTGGGAAAATGAATAAAAATCGTCTAGGCACAATGTCAGAAGTGTTAATGATAATGAGGAACGAAACGATTATGCTAAAATGCAAAACAACAAACGGAAAAAAGGCAGACAAATTACATCAACTGAATAAAAGAATAATGTGATGTAATGGCATGGACAAATATACAAAGACATTTAAGTTCATAACAACAAAACATTCTAAAATGTCTCAGAAAGTATAAAAATAGCATTACAATTGAAGGAATAACAATAGGAAAACGAGGGCAAGATAAATTTGAGCCTTAGATTGGCGAGTTTATTATTTAAGAAAGTGTGCAATAATATTTAATGGGCATATTGACCGCATTTTTTTTTAGGTCTAGATCTCTCATCCGAAAACAATTTTTCACCGTAGTAAAGTTTAAAAAGAGCGCATCGTAGTGAGAAGAAGACACACCCATTAATATTTTCTGGTCATCTATCAAAGTCGCCGGCGCAAAGGAATCTCAAAATCAAGAATTCACTTTGTTGGCGATGAATTGGGTTAAAATAAAAATTGTTTACCGCCAGCACAGTGGAACCACAGAAAGCGAACCGATAAGACCACATACATGGACAAATAACACGAATGATGCGGAATGATAAAAGGGGGCAGACTGAGATGGCAAGAGACGGGGCGAAAGAGAGGGCATGATGATGATGGATGACAAAATGCAGGCATGTCTGTTGTGCGAGGGAGGCGAGTGGGTTAGTCCGTCCCCCTCTGACCTTCGCCTTTGATTGAGCCCATCTCCTCCCCCCTCCCCCCTGCCCAACTAAAGGTCCATCTCCCACTGGTTTTTCTTTTACATCATTGCTGCAATTTCTGATATTGTTTCGTTTCTTTTTCCCTTCTTTCAATGTCAGTTAATGGGAAATCATTTATCATGTGCGTGTCTTTCTCTAAGAGAATAAAGAAAAAGAAGAACCAGTTGGGAAATTAGTCTTAAAGCAGGCCAACGGCAATATATATTCGAAGCGAAACAAAAAGTGCCAGAACTAAATGATAATTACCCAAGACAACAAAACGCACTGAGATCAATAATTTATCATCTCCGACCCGAGGTCTGTCCTTCAATTTGTGCTGGTCGCCTTGTCTCCACTCAACTTGAAAATTTGTTATAGTTTCCCTCAATCTGATTGATCGTAACCAACGAACTGGAGAATAAAAACCATCTTCAATTGTCTTGCTCTACTCCAGGTGTGTGTAGTTGTGTGTGTGTGTGTGTGTGTGTGTGTGTGTGTGTGTGCATTTCGTGTTCAAGTGCTCGGAATCGAATCAAAAAAGGGTTATGGGTGGGGAAAAAATGGGGGTTAAACTCTGGAGGAAAAAGCGGAGGAGTCGGAAGCACCAAAGGGAGGAAAACTTCAAATTGCCATTTTGATGCTCGCAAAGTTTTGCCGTTTTCTTATTTTATTTTTCCTATCTCTTCCTTTCCGTTTTTTTCGTTATGCCGCAAACAAATTCAAATATCCTTTCGATTGACTCTTGGTCAGTTGGATATATCCTATTTCCAATGGGGAATTTTAGTTTCATCGTCGGGATTTGCTGAGGATATGCTTTTTGTCTTGAAAGAAGTTTACAACTTTTAATGGGTTAAGAAAATAGCTATATACTTTTCCAGATATTTAAATGCTCTTTTTAAAGTGTACATAAAAACATTGTATTAGCAGTACCATATTAGTTTTAGAGTGTTCCCCATTCGATTACTGCCCGTGTCTAAATCCATTGCACATTCCTTTCGGATGCTTTAAGCAGCTTAAGCCGAAAAATAACTTTTCAATGACTTTTTGGGTTCGGACCTCGCCTGCGGGTCACATCTGCCTCAACTTTACATTATTATTTCATTCCTTTTCCATTTTTTTTTGGCATTCCTTGTATACTTACATATACTGTTTGTATTAAAAAAAAAATGATGTTTTGGACCCTTTTTAGAGGCGTTGTGCGAGCCATGGGCAAGCAGCACCAATATCTCAGCACCCGGTCGCCCTCATCTGCTTACATAATTTCATTTTTGATTTCTTCTGACACTTTGCACATGCTTTTTGAATAACTCATCGCCTTGTGCACTCATCATCAAACATTCTTCGCCCAGCCACTCCCCCTTCCCCCACTTCTCTTAGTCCCCGCCTCAAAAGCTGATCCATCCAAGTGAGCATTTGTTGCCTTTGGGCCTTTAACTTCCTGCTGCCGCTGTCGTCGTCGTCGTCGTCGTCGTCTGACTGCCTTTTTCTTCATCCCATTCTAGAATCAAGCGTTCATTGAACCCTCGACGTTCTGAGTTTCACTCTTCTTGGTTATTCTTACTCGATTCAAACCTTTATTTTAGGGCACTTTCATTGTGAAATCCGGAAATTAGTGTTTTTAATATTTTATTTTAAGTCTGACACATCATTCAAAAATCTGTATATTTTCAAAAACCATACTATGATTTTTTTCTATACTAATGGATCTATTGTTTTATATGTTGTTCACACTTTAAATCGTGTTTTGATTCACCTTGAAAAAGCGCATTAACTTTATCTGATTTGCCTGCTCACATTTCGCTATTAAAGTCCTCAATTACTAATTGCAGTTTTGCTATAATTATAGTCCCATTATATATGCCACATGTCCAGAGCTGATGGGGGTGGCATTTCGCATTTCGAATTTGGCCTGTGTGTAAATTACTAATTTCTGTTGTCGTCCTGACATCGCTTTGATTGTCTCTGTCACTCTCGCTTGCCCTGCGTCTGTCTGTCCCTCTCTTCCTGCTCTTTGTTTGCTCTGTGACGTGCTGAGCCATCCAATTGTTGAGCTTTTGCTGATGTTGGCATTTCGCAGTGTCCATTATTTTGGTCAGCCACCAGCAGAGAATAGAGAAGTGCAAACTCATGCGGGTGTACATTGTACCGGTGACGAAAATGTACGAAATCTTCTTTAATTAAATATGGTTCACAAACAATGTTTGCTCGTAATCAAACGTTCTCTTAAAAACGTTGCAAATACTAGTTTGTAAATTTTGGTCACTACCCTTTGATGGTGTTTTGTTATTCTTAAGGTGTTATCGATAACTATATTAACTATTAACATTTTAAAAAGGAAAATCACATCAAACAAGCACCTTGAATTGTCTGTTTTTAGAAATATATTTTGTATATTATTAATGCTTCAAGTTCCTTATGAGTTTTATAGTAGATTTTCAGACTTCAACATTGAAAATTGTTAACTAGATTTATTTAAATACATTTTGAATGTTTTTAAATTTAACCAAAGTTATATGTACATATATATTAAAGAAAACTTGAGGTCTCTCTATAATTTGGTCGCCTGTACCATACATAGATGCGTCATGTTTAGGCCAAGTTTTCCAATGACGCCACCCACAGAA